ACTAAAGCTACCATAGTGCGAGCTGTAAAAAGTACAGCCACGAAACACGTTATTGATATCCTGCAGGAGGTAACCAGCTACTTAGGAATGCCAGAACGAATCATTACTGATCGCGGTACAGATTTTACTTCAAAGGATTTTGAAAAGTATTGTAAGTCGAATAATGTAAAGCACATACTCAATGCTGCAAAGACACCGACAGCGAACGGCCTCTTCAAATGCCTTCAAATGAAAATGAAAAACGATAGGACGACCAGATACGATCAATTCAATGGAGCATCAACACCATGGTAAATAGTACGACTAAATGTTCCCCATTTCAGCTATTGTATGTTTATGAGCCACGAGATATCCTCAAGAACTCAGTCACGAATGCGATCCAAGGCCCGGATCTGAATATGATGACAGATGGCGAGTTGGAAAAGCAACGAGCAGATGCTGCGACTACAGTCAACGATCATAGGGCTGCTGCGAAGAAACGTTAGGATGCTAGACATTCCAAGCCAAGCGTATATACCATTGGTGATCTTGTGTTAGTCGAGAATGAGCCGTTTAGCACGGGAACGTCACTCAAATTTGAGCCTCGCTATAAAGGTCCATTTATTACACTACTCGACACGATTTTTCCTCAAGGAACAAAACCAACTTTTTCTTAAAGATTTGGGGCCTAGAAATGGTATGATGATATTTTTTATACCCGTACTCAAAAAAGAGTTTAGATTATTAGATTTGTGGTAAAAGTGGATGTGTGCAACGCAGAGAAGGAAACGTTTCCGACCCCATAAAGTATATATATCTTCAGCATCAATAGCCGAGCATATAGCCAGCCGTTGCCGTCCGTCTGTCCGTCCGTCCGTCTTGTGAGGCCTGGCTGGACTTGGCTGGCCAAATTTGGTTTCCAACTCATGTGATATCACACGCTACGGTATTCTTTCGCCCCGCCCCCTCCGCCAACCCAAGACGAACATCTGTGGAGGCACTACGAGTATCGTAGAGAATGACCATACTACCAGACTGCCAAATCTGTAGATCGGATCATAATTATAGCCAGAATGGTTAATTTTCAGTTGCTTCCCCTCCCCCTCCCGCCATCGACAACGCATCTCATTTTCCTTCTCGCTCGCACATTCTGCCGCGTTCAGTGCGCGGCAACCCCTACGGAGGAGATGTAGAATTACATGTAAAACTACATGTTAGATGTAGAATATACATTGTATATGTAGATGTTATCATATGTAGCAGTTGTTTTTTTTTTTCTTCTTAAATCACGCTCAAAATGTATGACTGACTGAGTACGGGATAGAGGTCGCGTCCCGGCGACTCACACGCCCCGTTTTATTTTCTATGCCAGAACTTTTTTTTGAAGATTTTTTGAAACTGGTATTTTTTAAAGCTTTTTTCAGAGGTAGCGCTTCTTTTTTCACATAAATCTAGTATCTTACGTTAGGTTGTAAAGAATTTTGCTATTATGAAAAGAGAATTAAAACAGCTAGAAGTTAAGCCGAAACGCCTCGTGATTTCAGCTTATCGTCTGGGAAATAAAAAGCATTGAAATGCAAAAATTATGATTTTTGTGGTGTATTTTTTACGAAATTTTGATTGGGAATTGGGATCGCGATGAGGTACCAAATGTACAGCCCTTTTTCGTTTGCTTTGTTCCTAATTGGCAGTTGGGCCCGCAACCTTCCAAAAGGTATTTTTTGTTAATTTTTTAGAACTGCAAAGTTCTGTGCAACCAGATATAAGATACTTAAGTTATGTAAAAAATCCCTACACGTCAAAGAATACTCCTTAATAGCTTTCCTAGATATCGAGAGAGCTTTTAACAACGTCATACCAGACCATACAATCACGGAGGCCCTAACTGACCTGGGGGTGGATCGGCACATGGTGATGCTCATTGATCAATTGCTTACATGCGGTGTCCTGTCACCCCTTCTATGGAATATAGTAGTCAACAAGATTCTGTGAAACCTGGAAGGGGGGGCTGCAAAGTGGTGGCATACGCGGACGATGTTGCCATCATCTTCTCGGGGAAATTCCCTCAAACACTTTGCGATCTAATGACTGCAAAGCTCACGCGGTTGTCTGAATGGACAAAGTCACGAGGACTGGGAGTCAATCCCTCGAAAACGGAACTTGTATTGTTCAAAACCAAATACACAGATGCTCCTCTCAACCCCCCTATACTAAACGGATGCAGGCTCTCCTTCAGCGACAATGCCAGATACTTAGGGTTGTTAATTGACAAGAAGCTGTGTCGGAACCTGAATACCAAAGACAGAGTGAAGAAGGCCACGATAGCCCTTTACACTTGCAAAAAGGCAATTGGCTTGAAATGGGGCATGAACCCAAGCATAGTCCAATGGATATACCTAGCAATAGTTAGGCCAATACTACTCTACGGAGTCGCAGTGTGCTGGCCTGCCCTATCAAAAAAGACCATCATTAAACAACTGGGCAAAGTACAACGAACTGCCGCCCTTTAAATCAGTGGAGCCCTACGCACCACACCAAATGATGCGCTAAATGCCATCATATGCCTCCAGAGCAGAGACCTTGCAGGCAGGGAGCAGGCAGAAATGGCAGCAATTCGTCTGAGAGACTCCGACCAAGCATCTATCCTAAACGGAAACGAGATCGTCCCAACAAAAACGGACTTCTGTGTTCCGAGGGAGTACATAGATACTCCTTTTTAAACAATTATCCCCCACAGAGACAACTGGCTCGAGGGACCACCTGGCCCAGACGGAGCCATACATATCTTCACAGATGGCTCAAAGCTGGACAATAAGGTCGGAGGGGGAAGCTACTCCGAACAGCTCAACATAAGACACTCTTTCAGGCTTCCAGATCACTGCAGTGTCTTCCAAGCGATCAACGAAGCTTTGGGGTGGCTTTGTGAAATTGCCACTACGGCCACTCATTTAAACATCTACAGTGACAGCCAAGATGCGATCAAATCGCTAAGTGCGATAACACCGAGCTCGGCTATCGTGGCAAACTGTCGCAAATCTCTCCACGAGATGGCTCATCAGTTTGTTATTAGCCTAATATGGGTCCCCCTTCTCCAAGATAAGGAGGACATTTGTATGCCAATGGCCACTTCTAAGCACATTATTAAAGAGCACTTCAAGCTACTACAACAGACAATAGGTGGCAAACTGTACCGCAATGTCGCATAACTCGGCAAACATGGCATAGTATCACAAAGAAGCGCACCACTGAGCTCTGCAAGCTCAGTAGAAAAAGGTGCAGCTCAGTCATACGCTCCCTCACAGGACATTGGCTAATAGGCACCCATGCTAACAGGATGGGTGCCCCCTACAACGACTTCTGTCGTAGGTGTAGAGATGAGGACGAGGAAGAAACGGCGGAACACCTATTTTGCTCCTGTCCGGCTCTCAGTAGAAGGAGGGTACAATACCTGGGAATGCCTTTCATGAACGACGTATCGGACATGTCTATGAGTTCAAGAAGGATCGCAAAACTTCATAAGGGCATCCGGATGGGACAACTGCTGACATAGTGTCTCACAAGGGAGGAGGACATGATCCACGCGCCCAAGTGTGTCGGGTTCCTGGCGATCCCGACAACCGCCTCAACCTAACCTAACCAAACCTATGTTAAAAATAGAAGCACTACCTCTGAAAAAAAACATTAAAAAATGAGAAGGAACGTTAGAGTCGCTTTTGGGGATGCGACTCTATTTATAGCCGTACACAGTCAGCGTATACATTTTAGCATATGATTTTTTAGAATTTTAAAAAACATTTTACATATTACATTTTTTTTGCTACATCTGTTATCTAAATCTACATCTAAAATGTATATTTTACATCTAACATGTAGATTATAGATGTACCATTTATATTCTACATCTTCTCCGCTAGGGGTTGCTCGTGCACTGAACGCGGCAAAGTATGCGAGCGAGAAAGAGAATCAGAAGCGTCAGCAGCGCTGGAGAAGGAGGGGGAACCAACAGAAAATTAATTTCATTCTGGCTTTCTGGCATTCTTCTGGCATTCTGTAGCAAAAAAATGTAATATGTATTTTGTATGTGTTTTAAAATTCTAAAAAATCATATGCTAAAATGTATACGCTGACTGAGTACGGCTATAAGTAGAGTCGCATCCCCAAAAGCGACTCACACGTTCCTTCTCATTTTTTAATGTTTTTTTTCAGAGGTAGTGCTTCTATTTTTTACATAGGTTAGGTTAGGTTAGGTTGAGGCGGTTGTCGGGATCGCCAGGAACCCGACACACTTGGGCCGGTTACAGCCCGTTGTGATGCCGCGTGGATCATGTCCTCTTCCCTTGTGAGACACTATGTCAGATATGTCCGATACGTCGTTCATGAAAGGCATTCCCAGGTATTGTAACCTCCTTCTACTGAGAGCCGGACAGGAGCAGAATTGGTGTTCCACCGTTTCTTTCTCGTCCTCATCTCTACAGCTACGACAGATGTCGTTGTAGGGGGCACCCATCCTGTTAGCATGAGTGCCTATTAGCCAATGTCCTGAGAGGGAGCGTATGACTGAGCTGCACCTTTTTCTGCTGAGCTTGCAGAGCTCAGTGGTGCGCTTCTTTGTGATACTAGGCCATGTTTGCCGAGTTATGCGACATTGCGACTCCCTTATCTTGGAGAAGGGGGATTGTAGTTCCAGTTCTGGCCAGCTTATCTGCTATGCAGTTGCCTTCAATGTCCTGGTGGCCAGGGACCCATATACGGCTGATAACAAACTGATGAGCCATCTCGTGGAGATATTTGCGACAGTTCGCCACGGTAGCCGAGATCGATGTTATCGCATTAAGCGATTTGATCGCAGCTTGGCTGTAACTATAGATAATTAAGCTTACCTTACTTAAGTATTACTTACTTTAAAACTTAAAAGCTAAAGTATTAAAGACAAATTTAGATATATCTGTTCAAAATCATTATATTAAGCTCTTTAAAATTCTTTGATTGATTCTATAGTGATTGATTGATTTTATAGTGAAAAACTTTTCCAAACCATGACTGATCTAATTGTCGCTGATGGATATGCTTCTGCTGGTTACGAATTTATTAACATAGATGATTGCTGGTTAGAAAAACACCGCAGTCACGATGGAAAGTTATTAGCTGATCACCAAAGGTTCCCAAATGGAATAAAAGCTTTATCAGATTACGTAAGTAACAAAATTTCATCAATAACACTACTCGACAAAATCGAAATTTTTTCCTTAAGCAACCAAACCGACTTTTTCTTTAATTTTTTTTAAAGAATTCTGGTTTTAATTCTAATTTCTTTTTCACATAACTAAAGTATCTTAAATTTGATTGTAATGAACTTTGCCATTCTGAAAAGATAAGAAATGCACAAATAAACGAGAAGGAACGTGTGAGTCGCTTCTAGGGACGCGACTCTACTTATACCCGTACTCAGTCAGTATATACATTTTTGAGCATATAATTTTTTAGAATTTTATAATTAAAATTAAAATTAAATTAAAATTAAAATTAATTTCTTCATTCTGGCTATAATTATAATCCGATCTGATTCAGATTCTGCAGTCTGGTAGATATAGTTATTCTCTACGATACTGTTTTAGTTTAGTTTTAGCGTACCTTTAAAATTGTGGCTGCCACCGATTTTCGTTCTTTGTGGTGGCGGAAGGGGGCGGGACGAAATTTTGAAATACACTTGTAGCAGTATGATATCACATGGAAACCAAATTTTGTTGCCCTACCTCTTATAGTCTCTGAGATCCAGGCGCTCATCAAGACGGACGGACGGACAGACAGACATGTCTATATCGACTCGGCTATTGATGCTGATCAAGAATATATATACTTTATGGGGTCGGAAACGTTTCCTTCTCTGCGTTACACACATCCACTTTTACCACAAATCTAATATACCCCTTAACTATTTTGAGTAAAAACGCAGTATCGTAGAGAATGACCATATCTACCAGATTGCCGAATCTGAATCAGATCTGATCATAATTATAGCCAGAATGAAGAAATTAATTTTCAGCTGCTTTCCCTGCCTCCGCAGCCAGAGACACGCTATTCATTCTCTTCCTCGTTCGCACACTCACCCGCGTTCAGTGCGCGAGCAACCCCTAGCGAAGGAGCTGTAGAATCTAAATGGTACATGTATAATCTACATGTTAGATGAAGAATATACATTGTAGATGAGATGTAGATGTAGATAACAGATGTAGCAAAAAAATTTTTAATTCTAAAATTGTAGAGTACGGGTATAAGTAGAGTCGCGTCCCCAGAAGCGACTCAGACGTTCCATCTCGTTTTTTTTTGTAAATGTGCATTGATTTAGCGTCGTTCATTATTGTTAACTAAAATCTATGGAGAAACAATGGAGCTAAAATTGGTTGAACAACCTTCCGAAAAATCATATTTTACCGTTTCACCGATGCTGGCCAAAGACTGTTTTGACATTTTTAAATTTTACATGCTTTAAATAAAAATGGAATTTCTTTCCAAGTAAACACACAACACACAGCTTGCTGGAACTGTGAAAATGTTAGAAAATTTCAGCTTAGATACAACTTGTTATCTTCATGTAGTATATCTATAATTTTCCACTTAGATTCGCCATATCTTCATGTAAATCTATTTTATCGCCAGGAAAAAAAAATTTAGTCAAAAGACCTGTCTCCAGCACCGCGGAAAATTGCGGCAAGGAATTTGCTAGTTATTCCGTGAGGGTGTGGAACATAGCTAAAACAAAGTTGATGAATCAGCTGTGTTTTGAAAACAGAGGCAACTGTAAAATTCTGCTTAAATTAAAAAAGGAAAAAAATGCACTCTGATGATGAAGTGATTGTGTTGGTGGCGGCATATAATGTTGCAAAACAAAAAAGAATAATTTTCATCTCTCTTTTTGGTTTTGCGGACAGTTTTTGCCTTCATCTTGCACCATTCACTTCAGGAAGAATTGTTAAGCCTAGTACTCAGATCGAAAAAAACACCTAGCGAACAGAATCAGGGTTGATATTCGTATGAAACCGATAAGAAATGTTTCACGGCAAAAACTGTTTTCTAGGCTCTGTACGGAAGGCAGTACTCAGATCAAAAAACAAAAAGGTCGGTATATACTGGAAAAGTATCAGAAGTATTTCCTTGTTTTTTTGGTATGTTTCGACCAACCTCCAAAAAGATATCAATTTGTTATCTTTAGCCAGCAAACACGAAGCAAACATTGCAATAAGAGAACAAAAAACCAAATGATTTTAATTTTATTTTAATAATGAAGATAAATATAATCTAATTAATGCAGCATTGTATAAAGGACAATTAGATTGATATTATAATATATTTTTATTAATTTTCATAAATATAAAATAAATATTGCTTTCAAAACAGTTTGTCTTCACGGTGGTCGGCACGGGTGGCGTCGCTTTTTAATAATGATTTAAGCCATAATGCTTCTATAACACCTTCAAACAATGCCATATACTCAGCTTCTGTTGATGAAGCTGCTACAGAGTTCTGTTTCCGAGTACACCAGCAAATTAAGTTAGATTCATACATTTTAAACAAATATCCTGTAGTACTTTTTCTATCTATAATAATTCCGGCCCAGTCAGAATCAACATAACCACTAAAAATGTCATTGTCGGGTCAAGCAGCCTAAATAATTATGTTCATTATTTGCACTGTACCAATCACTGTTAATCAGCCTATGTTATGCACGGCAGCGGCTGCTCTTTCATTTTATCTCGCCTTCTTCGCTTTGTTGTTGCAGTTGCAGCATCTAAGCTGGTCTCTCGAGTTCCATATGACGTTCGTGCTCGGCTTAGCATCTGCCCCGATCTGCTCTCCTTTCATCGCTCGTTTTCGCTCTCTTTAACACTTGCTGCATAGGGCGCTGGCAAGTCGGCCCATGTGCCCTTGTAGCCAGTAGAGAGATAATCTTCGTATCAATCGCATCGCTTTATTATATCGCTCATACTAACGCCTACTTTAATTCCCAATAAAAATTAATTGTACATTTCTCATTGAAACGCTAGACCTTTTTCTTTAAGTCAAACGAGTTTCAACGGCTATTAAAAACTCTTAATAGCCAAACATATGGTGACCCCGACGTGATTGTGCATTAGTTAATATATTCGTGCAATCACAAACTACAATTAAACATTCAAACATTGCCATATATTGCCGGTTCTTCGTTATTGTCGTTTGCCCGCGGCTTCAAGTGTCATCGACCACATATATATACACCAGCCGCTCTTGCATATAAGCATATACGTTTTGTTTGCGGTGCTCGTTCCCGTCACTTGCGCGGTACTCTTTGTTGTTCATCTTCCCGCTAGAAACGTTTTTCTAACGCCGTCGCTGCTATGGAGTTGGATGGTTCAAACGGCAGTATAACTACCGCTGCGGAAAACAGGGTGATTTTTCTGAAGCGGAAGGCAGCGGAATTGTGCGAAGGCCTCAAAAGATTGAGTGCCACTTGGGAGAATGAATTGTCGGCTTGCGACTACTATATGCTCGTGGTAAAGTTGGAGGAGATCGAGGAGCTGCAGGGCACGTTCAAACCCGTGCAGAACGAGCTCGAAGAATTGGATTGTCGAGAATTTAGCAGTGGATTGCGCGACAAGTTTCAAACACTTTTCCGAGAGTTGAAGCCGTCAATTTGTCGTGAAATTGCCAGGACTAGCGATCAGATGCCTTCTCATTCCACGTTGGCTGGAACAAATGCAACTGCTGGATTTGCCTGTTCGCAGCCTCCACCTCGCCGTGGACAGTCCCTGCCGCCTTTGCAATTGCCAACGTTTGGCGGAGGGTATACAAACTGGTCAGATTTTTATTCTATGTTTGTTACCATTATTGACAATCATCCGGACCTATCCAATATTGAAAAGTTTCAGCATCTGCGATCTTGCTTGCGTGATTCGGCGTTGGAGACAATTCGATCGTTAGAACTCTCGGATGGCAACTATAACATGGCATTAGAATTATTGGAAAAGAGATTTAATAATCGACGGTTGGTCTTTCAGGCACACATTACTGAGATCCTGGGGCTCCAGGCTGTGGAGAATGGGTCAGTGGCTATGCTTCGGGAGATTTCGGACAAGTTCAACGCTCATATGCGGGCGTTGCAGACTTTGGGTACTCCTGAGCAGATCGCTGGATGCATAATCGTGCAGGTGCTTCTACGGAAACTGGATCCAGCAAGTCAAGCAAAGTGGGAGGAAACTTTAGAAGATACAGCCTTTGTCAATCTCATTCCTTCGTGGGAATCTATGGCCTCGTTCTTGGAACAACGATGCAGGACATTGGAAACCGTGGATTTCGCTATGGCAACTTATGCGCCGAGCAGTCAGGTGGGAAGAAGTACAAAAACTAACCCTTCTAGATCCGCACTTGTTGCCACAAGTCACAGCTCATCGGGATGCGCTCTTTGCAGTGAAACTGCTCACGAAATCCATTATTGCTCGAAGTTCAAGGCCCTGTCCCCTGCGAATCGCCTTAAGGAAGTTAGGAGACTCTCTCTATGCTTAAACTGCCTCAAAGCAGGTCATCGGGTGACTACATGCAGCTCGAGCAGCTGTCGTATCTGCGGGCGCAGGCACCACACTCTTTTGCACTTCGGTAATCCTGAAGCTACTGCAGTCCAAACTCAATGGCACTTGAAACTCTATCTCCGTCTGTGCCGTCCAATGTCAGCACTCAAACATCTACTTCAGCACCCACGTTGTCTCATAATGCCACTGCACCGTCTACTTCGTCGTCTACCTCTGCTGCTCTTATTGCCCAAGGTTTCAGTAAGGATGTTGTTCTGTTAGCCACGGCAACAGTCTTGGTTAAAAATCGTTCAGGAGTCCTCGTTCCCTGCCGAGCTTTGCTTGATTCCGGCTCTTAGCTGCACCTAATAACCTCTCGTTTTGCAAATCAGCGTCAGCTTCGAAAAATAAAATCATCGACTGCAGTATCTGGAATAGGTGATTCAAACTTCGTCACGGATGGATTTTCGGTCAACATTAGCCTGCACTCTCACTCGACGGACTACTCAACTCTCATCACTGCTGTTGTAGCCTCTAACATAACCGATCGTCAACCAAGTTACGGAATAGACACTCACGACTGGAACATTCCAGCAAACCTACCTCTTGCTGATCCAGAGTTTCATAGACCTCAGCGTGTCGATCTTTTAATT